GATGAATAGGAAAAGCCATAAATCTACAGAAAATATAGTTTCAATACCAAAAATGTTTGCCCCCTTTCATATTTAACAAAACCGTCTCTCTCTTTGCAGGCCGATTGTGGCCCCTGAAGTAAAAGCAGCTGTTATACTATACTATACATACTGCAGTGCTGCTGGCATTTCAGATGGAGTTAATCAAGTACTGTACGAACATGTGTTTAAATGTTAAAGCTTTAATCTAAAGCACTTTAGGTGGTCAGTAAGAATATTCCCTCTGAAACATGAACCGTATGGGTGTCAAGCATGCACAGGCATCACTGGCAGACTGTCTCCGGCCATTTCCATGGAATTCCCACAGAATCCTGGAGCTGAGCTCGCAAGTGTCGGCGGCCTCAAAAGCCAATCCCTGCTGACTTCTACACTGGGAACTGCTGCAGCCACACATCACTTGATTAGGATAAAATGTTTCACCACAGAATCTCAGTAGTGAGGTTTTGGGGCTCACTGTAACCTCAGTGGTAGAGTCTCAACCTAAACTAAAGGAGCGACCCCCTCAGGTAAAATTCAACATTTCATAACCTCTTTGTACCAAAAGGTTTATCAGTTGGCGGCTCCTTAGAGACAAAGTACTGCCACCCCTGCTGCTACGTCAAGCCGTACATTCCACACTCCACGAGGAAGGAAACAGAAATCAACTTAGGAACAGTGCCTACCATGAGGCTCATGGAGATCCATGAGCACTCCAGGTACTCGTTCACTGCTCCCTCCTCCCCCCAAAAAGTACAAAGAAGACATTTTTTCTCCACACTGTAAGCTGTGTAATGGCCAACAATGTTCTCCATGTTCACATTCATGTTCAGCACCTTATAGCTTCTGTGATGGGCAGGCCAGAAGACGGTTGCCTTCCTGGGATACTTCACTCACTTTTAAGTTTTCAATACACAAAAAACAAACTAAGGGAAAGATATTTATTGCATTGTTATCACTTCATGGAGGAACTTTGTGTTGGAGCACATATATAATGGACTAAAATACTCAATAGAAGGCTTTTGTGTGTGTCTGTGTGTTATGAGTCAGGGGTTATACCTTAAATAGGGTATTGACCTCGGAGCTGTCAGCCTCCAGCATGCACAGTTTCCCTCGCAGCATTTCCTGTGACTTTTCATCTGCAGGAAGATGGTCTGGACCCCTGACCACATCCAGCAGTACAGGAAGAGCTAAACACACAACACACACTTAATATAGACGTGACAGACAAGACTATGAGTGAATCAACTCTAATGTGCTGATTTCATAGCTTTCCTGTCCTGACTGGACAACACAGATTGTAATGAAAATGAAATCAGTTAAAAAAATGTATCTGTTGACCAGTTATTTCATATTTGATTAAATGAGTTTATGCCTCCTTGAATTTACATATATGGCTGTGTGGTGTCTGTTAAAGACATAACCACACAACATGTTTTCAACCATGTATAAAAACAAGGGTGAACAGCACAAAATGAATAATTAGGAAAATATAGTGTTATAAATAAAAGTCATTAATAATGTCCATATTCAAGATGGTGCAGCTGATAGCAGCCTGAATACTGCTCGGTGCTACTTTTCCTGCTTGTGTTTATCTGTTCAGTTTTCAGCTCTTCCTTCCTGTTCACACACACATCAACAAAGTAATCAGGTTGTTTTGTTTTTTTTAAATAAAACTTTACTCTGTCTTTCATCCATCTGGAAAATTCTGCAAAACTATTAGTTGGAGCAGCTCTCAACAGGATTAGGAGATGCTGATGAGAAACTCAAACTCCTTCCGATCGTACATTGGCCGGTCCATGCTTCTTTCATTTCACCCAGCGAATGTTCAGTCCTGTGCCTCAGTGATATCTGGCTGGGTGAACATGTCCCCAACAGCTCACTATATCTACCAGGCTTTCAACTGCAATACAGAGCTTTTTCGAAAAGCGAAGGGAGGCGCAATCATTTCCATATAAACTGTTTCCATATAGGCTTCAACCTACAAATAGGTTTCCGGCCAAATTCCAAAACTGAACCCAAGGAGATCTCATAAAATGAGTGCTCTTGGTTAGCTTTGATCTGGTATGGCCAAAACCTCTATTAGGCCTCTATAACAATAGAAGATCAACTCACATGGGTTAAAATACAAGCTGCCAGTGAGTTCACTGTAAATAAAATCATCCAATGATGAGCTAATGATGAAACTGAGTGTCTCTCTCACAGTTTAATAAGTGACTGAAGAGGAACTTGTGGGTTCAAGGTATAAACCACTTTAAAATGTTTCATAATTTTCTACTGAGGTCACTTCAGTTTTACAGGTTAGATTATTTCCTGTAATACTCCGGGATCAAAGTACCACTGAAAGCAATATGATTTGTTAGGGTGATTTGTCTTCCTCCTAAAATGTTTTATCATGCATTAAAAAAAACACTGACTCCTAACTCATCTAAAATAGACTTCATGAGACCATAGCGTGTTCTGACATGATAACCCTTGCAATCCCAGCATCTGACAATGGTTCAAAGAACTTCTATAAACATCACTATTTTTGGTGTGCAACTTTCTCCAGACTGACAGCAAAACAACTAGTAGCTCAGTGTTCAAACATTCGGAAGAAGGAATTGCTCTCACAGCTAGAGATTGACAAGGTACATAATAGGATCATGGGGAAACTTGAAACCTGGACCCTCCGTAGCCGCTTACCAAGATCAGAACACCATGGCAGCAGTGATCAGTGAGATGACTATAAGATGAACCGCCACAAGGTGCAGTACCCACCATGGAGAAAGAGACTAGAGGCCAAGATCAAGGTAGCACAACTAATGGAGCTGCAGAAAGGTGCCTAAGAAGCACAGAAAGCTGTCTATGCCTGAGGCCTTGAAGACACCCAAGCAAAGACTACCAGCCTTGGACAGCTGCTTGAAGAGGTATACGCAGAGAAGTAGAAGGCAGGAAAATAAACCATCTATTCTGCACAGAACCATCCAAGGTGTACTCTCAGTAGGGAACAATATGAGAACAGCACCACCAAGGCTGGAGACGGAGCAGCACTGGAAAAGCATATGGGAGAAGGATGCAAACCATAATAACAATGCTCAGTGGCTAGTGGATCTAAGAGCAGACCACAGCAACCTCCCTGAACAGGATCCAGTAACCATCATAGTGGCAGATATCCAGCTGGTATTCAATGAGAGACACCCAGAATGGCTAACCAAAGGTCCAAGATTCCTGATCCCCAGGGAACCCCAGAAATAACCGGTCCCATCCAACTACCGGCCACTAACCTGCCTCAGTATCACATGGAAGTTCCTGTCAGGCAGGTTAAGAAAAACAGGCGCATGGCTCAATACGTAAGCAGGGAAGAGAAACGAATTGGCAGGAATACCAGAGAACCGAAACACCAGGTACTGATAGACAGAGCAAGACTGTAAGACTAGGCTGACCAACCTGTGCACTGCCTGGATTGATTACAAGAAGGCTCATGACTCAATGGCCCACACCTGGATACTGGAATGCCTAGAATTGTCCAAGAACAACAGGACCTTAAAAGCCTTCATCAGGAAGTCGATGGGGATGGACATTAGAGACCAACTTCAAGCCCATCGCACAGGATCTATCAAGGAGATGCCCTGTCCCCCCTACTGTTCTGGATAGGCCTGAACCCCCTCAGTGAGATCATTGAAAAGAGTGGCTATGGTTACCGACTATGGAATGGAACAATCCCCCTCAGTACATGGACATCAAGCTGTATGCCAAGAGTGAACGAGACATCGATCACACGAGTACCTCAGGAAGATGGCCATGGACAGCTGCATGCTCAGTGAATGCCTCAAGCAGCAGAAACCCAATAAAGAGGAGCAAAAGGAGGTACCATCGTGAAAGGACAGGCCCCTGCACGGTATGTAGCACCGGCAGATAGAGGAGGTTGCTTATATCCAGAAATCCTACCAGTGGCTGGACAAAGCTGGACTGAAAGACAGCACAGAGGCACTAATCATGGCAGCACAGGAACAAGCTCTGAGTACAAGATCCATAGAGGCTGGGGTCTATCACACCAGGCAAGACCCCAGGTGCAGGCTGTGTAAAGATGCTCTGAGATAATACATCACATAACAGCAGGGTGCAAGACGCACAGAAACAGAAACGTGTGCCGAATATGGCCTCGTAGTCTCAAGGTCAAATCGGGAGAGTAGGGTGGTCGAGAATGGCCGAACTAAGATCCTGTGGAACTTCCAGATACAGACGGCCAAAATGGTGGCTAAACAACTGGACATAGTAGTGGTAGACAAACAGAAGAAGACAGCTGTAGTGATAGACGCAGTGATACCAAATGACAAAAAAAATCAGAAAGAAGGAACACAAGAAGCTGGAGAAGTGCCAAGGGCTCAGAGAAGAGCTCGAGAAGATGTGGAGGGTGAAGGTAAACATGGACCCAGTGGCAATCGGAGCACTAGGTGTAGTGACCCCCAAGCTAGGCGAGATAAGCAACTTCATCACTGATACAGCATTTTCACGTTCACTAACACTCACGTTTACTTGTAGTGTTAACCAATCATCTGTCAAGAAAGTACTTACTGTAACTTGACTTGCATCATAACACTGAAAATTTTGGGGAAAAAACGTGTGATAGTTGTGATAGTCTCTAGTAACGCTCTTGAAATGTGGAATTTCCAAGTATTTCAATGAATGTTCATAATTCAATCACCAATTTTATATATTATATATATAATTAGTTAAAGATGGTTTGACAGCATTAAATTGGAATTGATAAACTCACCTACTGGGAAGTTTTCCTCATACGCTGACAGAGTTCCCTTCAGACTCACAGCATCTCCAGACAAACCATGCACTGCTAAAAACATAAAGTGTTATGTGTTTTTACATTTTACCATTATACAATCATTGTTAATAACCTGTGAAAGATAAAGCATAATTACAGATGTGCAAATGATATCTAAAATACAGAAGACCTTTACAGTTGGATTTATCTGATTATTTGTTCAGTCACGCAAAATGAATTTGTTAAATTTCATATTTAACTAACAATATTCAACGAACAATTGAATATTGTTTGTTCAAAGTAATTAAATGTTTAGCTATCGATTAATATTGTGAAATAGCAAACAACTGTTTATTTAATAAAATGCTTGAAGTTTGCATAATAAGTCTCGAAATAACTGAATACAACTAAATATAATACTCAATTACTAAATTACTCTACAAATATCCAGTGACTCTTTGCAATAATACATCTGAGAGGGGATTCATATTTTTATTAGTTGCTATGGTTAGGACTTTTGCACACAAAACGTTTAAAATGTGGTGTTTTGTTCTACATGTAGCTACCTAACAGTTCATGTAAGCCTGCAAATCCTGCACATGAAACATTAGTTGAATAATCAACTAGCCAACAGAACTTTAGCACCACTCTTTTTGGTGGAAAAAGTAACCACTGAATGCAGTTGGACACAAAATGTCTGTGTAGGTTCTCAGTCATCCAGGTTCTGGTTATCTAAGGAGGAAGGGAAAGCGACTGGACTTCTTTAAGCTTCCTGAAGAAATGGTGAAGATGCATTTAAATGGAACAACACTGTCATTCCTTATGTAGCAGGTAGAAACTCATCAAACCTCT